CTTTTCACGTGACTTCGAATCGGGTAAGGATCGTCGCTCGATTCGGGCCCTCGTGACTTACAAAAATCGGGCTCACATTTCTCCTCCACTTAGTTTATGCGTACCACGCATAAACAGGTACGCCACAGAAACTCTAAATCCATGCTTCGGTGGTGGGTTCGTAGATCGAGAGGGAAGTATTCTTCTGGTTCTTTGTCTTTCCGTTTTTGACCTATCTTACTAACTTCTTTCTTCTGCATTTTATCTTTAGGTTCTCTTTCTATGTCGTCATCTTCTTTTATTGGTGGCGGCTCTGGTTCAATCGGCATTGTTTTGACTTTGTCAGCCTCCTCTTCAAATTCAATTCCTTTTTCATAATAAGAACCAGCACAATATGTTCCATCAGCATCCTCCATTTCTGCTGATTTTTGATAGGGTCCAATGGCTTTACGTTCATTCTTTCTGACTTCAATTCCATTTCGATAACAACATCCAAAAACTTTATGTTCATCCTTTTCAACACCAATTCTGTAGTCGTCATCATTATATATCGTATCACTATTCTCGTCGTCATCACAATCATCATTGTTGTCACCATTATCATTGTTATCTCCGTCATCGTCGTGGCTATCTTTTTTAACCTCAATTTCATTTTCATAACAAATACCAACACTACATGTTCCTTTGGCATGACCCATGTCTGTTGCTTTTTGGAAGTAGTCAAGGGCTTCAAGTTCATCCTTTTCAACTCCGATTTCATTTCGATAACGTTCACCAATATTCGTCACATTTCCTTCAGCTTTGGTGGGTTCCTTTCCAGTAAGTCCTTCATTTTCCTTTTTCTCGATTATTTTATTCACGTGATTTACCTTGGGTGATTTTTGGTGATAATCGGATGCCTTAGATTCTTTCGTTTTAGCAGGTTTCAGTTCTTCAGGTATATCCAATTTAGGCGTCCAGGTCGTTGGAATTTCCAGATAACAGTCGATCAAGTCTTCTAGCTCATCTTCCAAGCCATTTCTGCTGTTCACTAGTCCACTAGGTTTGTGTTCAGCCTTTTCAAGTTCCTTTTTGACCATGTCGTTTTCCTGCATGGGTTCCTGGATGGCATCTTTCGGGGCCCACTTTCATGTGAGAGCTTCACATTCGGTAATTAGATGTTGAAGAAGGTAGTTCAAGTCAAGGGGTTCTTTTGCAGGTTTGTTAGGATTGTTATAGGCATCGGGTACTGTAGGTATTGGTTGAAGTGACTTTAAGGGAACCTTCGGCATGAGGACTACAGACGGTACTGGAGGCGAAACCTTTTTCTTTGTGGATGAGCTTAGGTGGACATATGGAGGTAGGTATACAACAGTTTCTTCTTGGGTCTTGGTAGAATGATCTTTACAAAACACAGGTTAGGAATGATAGCAAGGAACGAATTCATACGAAACATCCTCCAGCATGTCTTCCATCACTTCTAGCATAAATTCAAGAGTCGGAGGAAGTTGCTCATCGTTAAGATGACGATTTCCAAAAGACTTCATCAATGATTTCTTGGACGTTGTCAGCTTGTTCTTCGGTAAGTGTAGCAAAAAGGATGGCACACTTTTCTTCTAAGAGAGCTATATGCGGGCATTTACTAATGACATGACCTTCTTCTTCACAATAGGAGCACCAAACTTTTCGTCGATGGTTTTGTCTAGTCGGTTTGGGGTTCCATCGGGCTTGCGACATTTGTCTCTTCGAGTTTTGGGCTTTAACTTGTCTTCGGGGTTGTTTGGACGTTGGTAGCAAGTAAGTATCGTTCATTCTTTTGTCTTCCGGGGTAAGTATGCTAAAATTCTTCTCATTTCTAAACACTAATTCTTTTCGTATCTCACAGTCAGCACCAAATGTTGCGTGGCAAATCAGCGAGTCTGTCGCTAATTCTTTCCAATTCTCGTGTAACCTACGGCAGCTAAGTCGAAATGGGCGTGTTAGATTTGGCTAGTGGTTTATCCGTAGGTAGTACTCGTCTCTTCTCTTTGTGTCTTTTCCTTCAACCTATTCTTCTATCAACCCTTGCCTTCTTTTGTCCTCTCTTTACTTTTTTAACCTGGAGTTACGAAACGTCGAATCGGGTTGGAATCCTCCTCTTGCGTTAACGGCTTGGTCACGTGACTTGCGGCGAACGAACAAAATGCAGTTCTAATGGATTACAAAGGGGGTGAGCGATAGTTGATGATGATGGGTTTAACAATAGTTTTCAGTTTGGGTCACAGTTTACTTTTAATATGGGTCTGATACTTTAAGTTTATTTAAGCAGTTGTATTTACTTGGGGGTATCGCTTGTTACTTTCTCCCTGGGTGGAAGGCCCTTTATTTATAATAAAACTCTTATTTACATTGGTCATTAATTTCTAACATAAATCTAATATCTGTTACATTCTAATTATATTTAAGAAAAGGCTGATATCTAATTTATCTTATAAGTAAAAGAAATAGCATAAGTAACAGAAGTAATGGAAGTAAGAAAAGTAACAGAAGTAACATTTCTGTTACTTTTCATGTGACTTCGAATCGGGTAAGGATCGTTGCTCGATTCGGGCTCTCGTGACTTACAAAAATCGGGCTCACAGCATCAAAACGTAACTTTGTATCAGTGCATAGAATTTAAGAGCCTCCGCTTCGCTCCAGACAACTAATACAAAAACCGATAAACCTAGACTAGTTATAACAACGCCAGGGTGTAGGATCGATTTTCCGATCACATGACTTTCCGACCTAGATTGCATATCTCAGCGCAGTCTGTCCAATCGACAAATTAATCAAATTTAACAAACACAATAAACTTGGTTTTTTTTTTGAAGTACGAGAAGAAATTTATGATTAATTTATTAATATAAATAATAAATTAAATGATAAATCAGGTCAAATAAATCTTAATGATAATTTGCAGTTTATTTGATTTGGCCTTATCATACAATTGATAATATCCAAAAAATAAATAG